GTGATGGTGACAAAGCGAGAAAGAAGAGAATATAAGATAAGAGAGGAGAGGAGAAGAGAAAAAGAAGAAAAACAAAACATCAGATAAGAGAAAAGAGAAAGAGAGAAAAAAGAGCGACAGTCCTAGCGAAAGAAAGCGAGAAAGGGAGAGCGAATGAGAACAGAAGAAAAAAAAAGGAAGAGAAGAAAAAAAGAGAGAAAACCCGCCCACACACTCATGCAAAATCGCAAATGCAGAACACTTTCCATAAATCAACCAATGTATTAAGCTCCTCCCCGAAGGAACTCGCGCGACAGGTTTTTCAGGTAAACTTTGACGAGGTGTAACATCCCGTTTTCAAATATAATTTTAGTTCGATTATAGAAAATGATGAGTCTTTCAGTTCGCGTTTAAATTGAAATAGAGGCGAATTCAATGTCTTTTGTTCGGTTCCTTCACAAACTGTCTAATTACTTTCTTCTTCTCTCGTCAGTTTATTTCTATATTTATATTTTCTATATACTTTTATACTGATATTTTCCCTATGAGTGATACTAATTATCCTCATAAACTATTGTGAATAATCCAATTATCCTCATTATAACTGTTATAATTCCTATTCAATAATCTTATAAAGATAACCAACGTTGTATTTTCCCCCGAATTTTCGATCACATGAATACCAACTTGAAAATATCCTTCACGTTTCTGACCACACGAAAACGATCACGGTTAATTACTTCCCTTATAATCTTCCCTACGAGGACTATAAAATCCCCATTATCGGACGGTGCAATATGACATAAGCCATAAACCTACGAAAAAAAAAAAGCAAAAAAAAAAAAAAAAAAAAGTTCTAGGAAGTCCATTGGTGATTTTTTCCCCCCTCTAGGGATGGATAAAAACAAATGGTCAGTCAAATTTGATCTTAATATTCCCTTAATATAAGGATGGGAATGAAAAGCACGAGGATCACATGGTTTGAGAGCTCCTTTGTTGCAGATGAACGACGAAGCAGACGCTGAGATATGGGAAGAGCTGCTCTAGATAACGTTAATGATGGATAGAAGACTGATTGCTATATATAATAACGGTCTTTTCTCTCTCTCTCTTCTTTCCCTTCTCTCTCTCTCTCTCTCTCTCTCTCTCTTTCTTTCCCTTCTCTCTCTCTTTCTCTCTCTTTCCCTTCTCTCTCTCTCTCTCTTTCCCATCTCTCTCTCTCTTCTTTCCCTTCTCTCTCTCTCTCTCTCTCTCTCTCTCTCTCTCTCTCTCTCTCTCTCTCTCTCTCTCTCTCTCTCTCTCTTTTCTTTCCCTTCTCTCTCTCTCTCTCTCTCTCTCTCTCTCTCTCTCTCTCTCTCTCTCTCTCTCTCTCTCTCTCTCTCTCTCTCTCTATTCTTTCCCTTCTCTCTCTCTCTCTTTCTCTCTCTCATATAATTATAAATATATAAATATATATATATACATATATATATATATCCCCACACATACATATATACATATATAGGCACACGCACACATAATTACATCCACACCCATGCATATTTAGCGTGTATGTATACATACATACATACGCACGCGCACACACACACACACACACACACACACACACACACACACACACACACACACACACACACACACACACACACATATAAAATCAAATAAAAAGATTACTAGTATTGGTAGCAGTAGTAGTGGTAGCAGTAACGGCCTTGCTGTATTAGTATGATTGCTTTCAGTATTGTCATCATTACTGTTGTTATTATTAATATTACCCTCATTTTATATTATGCTATTGCACAGGTTTTGAAAGAAAATTCTTCTCCTTAAAGACGGATATTCTCCTAGTCAAGAATTACATAATCTAGCAAATGACACACGGAAATTAGAAATACGCCCATGGAAAGGAAGAAAAAGAACAAACACTTGATAATAATGGCCAAATGCACCTTTATTATATTTTTTTTCTAATGAATGTAAGAGAAAGGTCTTCGATCCGGGTGAAAATAACCTATGCAATAAGACGGTTGAAATCACCGCGATTTTCCCATAGCTTTAAGCGCGTCTTTCGTTTTATTATTATTATTGTTATTATCAATAAATAGATAAACAATGGAAAGATGAACATTTTCGACATTTGATTTGGCGGGAAGTACACAGGAAATTGCATTATCAGCAAAGCACGCCGTATTTTTTAAAATAAAAAACCTAATTCCTTTTACAGCTACGAGCCTCCACGACGACATAAATATATATATAAATATATATATAAATATATATATATAAAACAATGAAACGAAAATGAAAAAGAAGGAAAAAATCGACAATACCATATAATCAACAGTAAATAAAACCTAACGTGCAAATAGAAGTCCCGCCACGTGAACGAAACTTTATGACGCGTGTGAAGCAATCAGTAGATATGAGATGAATGAAAGGAAATAAGAACGAAGCGTTGAGACATTTTATGAATGGGTCGTGGAGGGGGAGGAGGATATGGATGTGGAGGAGGAGGAAGAGGAAAAGAGGAGAAGGAGGGGGAGGAGGAAAAGAGGAGGAGGAGGAGGAGGGGGAGGAGGAGGAAAAGAGGAGAAGGAGGAGGAAAGGAGGGGGGAGGAGGAGGAAAGGAGGGGGGAGGAGGAGGAAAGGAGGGGGGGAGGAGGAGGAAAGGAGGGGGGAGGAGGAGGAATGGAGGGGGGAGGAGGAGGAGGAGGAGGAGGAGGAGGAGGAGGAGGAGAAAGAAACGGAGAAGGTGGAGACAGAGGAGGAATAGAGAGAAGGAAGAAAAGGTGGAGAAACAGGAGGGGAGGGGAGGGGAGGGGAGGGGAGGGGAAGGAGTAGGAGGAAGAGGAAGAGGAGGAGGAGGAGGTGGAGGAGGTGGAGGAAGAGGAGGTGGTGAAGGAAGAGGAGGAGGAGGAGGAGGAGGAGGAATGGAGGGGATGGTGATGGTGATGATGGTGATGGTGATGATGATGATGATGATTATGACGATGGTAAGGAGGAGGAGAAATGGTAAAAGAAAAAAAACAACAACAACAGAAGGATTAGATGTGCGAAAAGTAGGATAAGTAGATATGAAGAGTCTGCAGAAAAAAAGGACAAAATCAAATAAAAATGCAAATGAAGAATGCGCAATTTCCCCAACATTCACACATACACAGTGTTTATATGGAAGTGTCTGGCAACGAGCGCGCGCGAAACGTAGAGGGGACGAGAATCAAGTGTCAACACAGATGCGAAAAAAAACTAAGGGAAACATTACGAGGTGTTTATATTATGCAAAGAATTGGTTGCGGTCTTGCTCTTCAGTTAGCTTGGTTAGTTCGAGTCTGTATGTTCTAATTTAGAAGAAATACTAAACACATTTATTATTATTATTATTACTATTATTATCATTATTACTATTATTATCATTATTACTATTATTATCATTATTACTATTATTATCATTATTACTATTATTATCATTATTACTATTATTATCATTATTACTATTATTATCATTATTACTATTATTATCATTATTACTATTATTATCATTATTACTATTATTATCATTATTACTATTATTATTATTATTATTATATAAGACCAAGACAGAATTTTCCGGCTAAACGAGTGATTCCCAACATCTTGGAGGAAGCACTGTAATGTTTTCATATTCCAAGGAATCCCTATATACCGTAGATATTGCACAATGCATATTTGACAGTGTAATGACTGACATACGAGTATATTGGTATCAGGGAAAAGTTTGTGACGTGTTGTTGAGTAGGAATTGTGACTAATGAATTAAAATCACTGATATTTTGTAGTAGAACACAATTATTTTACGGTGACGGTCGGCGGAACCTCGGTTGAGAATCACTGGACTAAACTATCGTAATCTGAATCGATGTTTTTGTAGGCGTTTCATCCATTTTCTTTAGTTATATTATTTTCACAAAATTATTTGTTACTACAGTTCTAGTTGTGAACTATTGGCAAAAGGTCTTTTAAATACTGTTATACGCTGAAG